GAAAAACTGCATCCCACAAGGGGATGACTGGATAGTTTTATCACATTTTATACACATTTCTAAACTTCAGTTTTTTCTTCTATAACTGCTTGTCAGTTGCACAATATAACCATTATTTCTGCAATTCTGTTTCGGACACGAGCAATTCCATGTCTAGTGAGCAGGAAAAAAAAAAAAGACAAACGTACGTCCATTTAAAGTTAGTTTTGGCAGAAAACACAACAAATTATTGATGAAATAGCGCAGTTACTACCCTTATTACAATTTTTTTTTTAAAGTGTGTTCCTTTCACAGAAAAGAATACTTGCCTAATGAGTCACTGTGCTACACTAGAGACCTGGTAACAAAAAAATACTGCCCCCTAACAATTAAGGGTGTTTCCATTGAAGTCAGAATGCACCTGCCCAAGATAAACCAACAGTCTACAGAGTTTAAAACAAAGTTGGTCTGTAAAATAGAAGTACATGCAAAACTCAAGTTCTGAAATAAGACAAAATGTTCAGAAGTGGACGAACAGCCAAAACTTTTAGCCAAAGTTATAGCAACCTTGCCCCTAATACAGGACGCAAGTTTATATTATTTTAAAACCCCACCCTAGCTGTAGTCGGGGGCCCTAATATAACACAGCGGTTAAACTGGGTTTCTGGGACTTGCGCCCGTGTGATCCACATCTGAATGGTGGCATGTTGAGTCACCAGGTGTTTATAGTTCTTTGTGTGGTCCTAAACATCACTCACTTGCTTGGCCGAAGTTTACAGTCGATGCCATGAAAAAAAAGGTCTCCATAATACAAAAATACAACCTACTTTAATATGGGAACAGCTAGATCTCAAAATGGTTTTAAAAAATGATTGTTTCTGTATAATTTTGGCCAAGTGAGTGACAATCAACACCACCAGGACCGCATAACAAGCGATTAACATCCGGTGAAAAAAAGAGCCACTATTCAGATGAGAACCACCCTGGTAAAAGTCCCAGAAACCCTGTTCAACCATTAGGTTATATTAGGGCCCCTAAATACAGCCGGGAAATAAAAACAAACTGCGTCTTTTCTTGGGGGCAAGACTGCTTAAACTTCTGCCAAAACTAACTTTAAATGGAGCTATATTCATCTTTTTCTACTCACCAGAAATAACTAGACATGGAATTACCCAAGCCAGTTACAGACATAATGGTCATATGTTGGCAATTATATTGTGTGACTGTCAAACAGTTATAGAACATTTTAGGTTTAGATTATAAATGGGATTGTATTTATAACCAAGTGTATGTGTAGAGTCTTTACTGAGGAGGGGCAATCAGCAGAAATGACGCTCCTGTACTACTCAGTGTCCCAAAAAAAGTAAGATGACTGAAATCTAATTTTTATGGCCAATCCATCTGTCATCGTCTTTCCCCATGGCCCTCTGTCTCCAGGGCAGCCAACCATTTTTATACAATCTGTCGACAGTGCAAATGTCACTTCTGTTGCCAGAGAAATTTCAGCACATTCTGCATGTTAGGAACACAAACATCGATGGCAGGAGGAAAATCTAACTTGATATTGATTCCGTGTTTTTCAAATGCCTTGTTTCGTTAAGCAGCCTCATTATTACAACAGCTTTCTTGATGATCAATCTCTGACAGCACAAATAGCTGGGTCAAAATGGAAGACTGGAAGAGTCCCTAAGGATATCCTCTATGGCAAATTACAGGTGAGTAGAAGACGTCCAAGCCGACCTCTACTGCAAAATAAAGATGTGTGCAAGTGGGAAATGAATGTTAGGGTACTGATGTAGACTTATGGGAACAAAATGCAATGGACCATGCTGCGCAGAGGCGGCAAATCAGGAAGGGACTGGGGAAGGGGGGGAAGAGGGAGAACCATTGCAGAAAGGATGAGAGCTCAGCACCTGGTAATAAGCATACTAAACACAAACGATAGCAATAAGGGTAAAAAAATCCTATGCTATATTTGTGAAAGACTTTTCTCAGCGCATTCAGGGTCTTGCTAGTTTCTTTCTCCATCACCATGGGTCGAGTCCCATGCCTCCACATCGCACAATATGACACTTGGGAAGACGGAAAGGTGTTTACGTAGCCCCTCGGGGCCACATTTTCCCCTATTAAGTGTTTCTGTTTCCATGCTGACCGTGGCTGTTTGTGAGCTTTGTTGTCTTGTCAATTGAACTTTTTGGCTGTTTGTGCTATTATGAAGAACGCTATTGTTAAAAAAAAAAACCTGGCAAAAACATACAGCTGTACTTGTGCACGTCTATTCTATTCACCATGCTGAGCTTTCTAGTGATCCTGTGTTGTATATAGTATTTCTCACCCGTAGAAGTATATTTAAAAAAAAATTGGTTCAGCACATTATGGCATGACAAGGGTCTTTTACTTAACAAGAACAGTGTGGAGGCACAGACAGATAATTAAGGTGTGAGGAAAATAGCGCTGCGAGTAGTTACCGGGGGATCTGTCCAACACTCAACATTCAAGGGAAAGGTGAGACAGATGTACGATCATACAATTACTGGTGCCATGCTAATAATGGGGACGGAGTGCTTATGGGAGTGTCCCCATTTAACTTTACATGGACAACTTTATACAACACAACAAAATGCAAAGATGACAGTACACCAGTTGATAAAATGGTGTTCAAATTAGCATATATCTGGGGGAAAAGGGGGGGGGGGGGGGGGGGGGGGGGGGGGGGGGGGGGGGGGAGATGACCCCGAAACTTTCAGAATGCAAACACAAGATCCACAGATAAATAAAATGCAAATATTTTATTTCCATTCCACTAATGTTAAAATGTACAGATGATTGAACTTCAGGCCACATGCATGTAAGGTAAAATAACTGGCTGTGTGGACATGTACAACACTGACCATGATATTAAGTGATGGAATAGAAGATTTATCAAACTACACAGACCTTTCAGCTTTATATGGAAAAGACCCTAATCTGCCTCGATACGAATGCAAGCCATTGCCATCACGTAACTAATCCCAAACACTTTGTCACCTCCTGAATATTTATGAAAGGAGTATCTAAACAATAAATAAACTGACTATACATGTACAGTATAGATAAACTGTGCAAGGTACAATGACTGCAGCTCAGTTGTTTGTTAATATTAATATGTATGTCATGTAATGTCAACTAGATTTAGAAAGAACGCAGCCATCACAGAAACATTATCATGAATATGAAAGCCACTAACGAACAGCAATATGCCAGAACTAGACACAGTGAAATGTTAGTGCAGCACTGGTGAGATGATTATGAATGAACGACGTATGGTTCATGTTATGACCATGGGTCCTGCACTGAGAGGAAACCTAATGTGCACTTATATATCAACTTGCGCCCTTTTACTGCGCTATGTGATGCAACAAATGTTCCGGCTAAATAATTTAACAAGACATTCGGCTCTTTTTTCATCAAATGGCAGCAAAGAGAAGCCAGCTGGAAACTTAACTGTGAATAATTTCCTTCGATAGAAAATATTTAAATTATCATGAGTAAACACAGATGAAAGCCAAGTCCGTTCTAATAAAAGTCAACCAGAAAACATTCAGTATCCTGGCAGAAAAATTCTTACATATCGAACGACCCTTTATCTCACTGCGGGTTCTAGGGCCTCTCAAAATCAAATCCTTTAGGTTTACAACAGTGCAAATCAGTCTGCTACCAAATCACCCACAGTTGAACTCGAACCCAGTATTTCAGAATTAAAAACCATGTTCACAGCCCCTAAAGATATAACTAGAAAATAATTTCAACCTGTAGGTCAACTGCTCAATGTGCGGCACTGTCCAATATCATTCCATGTGGATGCACAATGTCTATTGTCAACATAGCAAAGCTGTGCCAACAATTATTGTGATCAAATTATCCAGTCTGTGGAACGTGAGGAGATAAATATGAGTTTTTATTATGTCTGGCATCTCACGGCTTAGGATGGGCCCACAAAACTACAGGTAACTGCTTAAGTATAGAGCACCTGAGCGCCTGTGACAAACCAAGACACACAATCTGTTGGAAAAGTACTCTTAACAAACCAAAATGCTACGTGTAGGTCAATTTCTCTTAACTAACCAAACTGCTACATGTAGGTCAATTCCTCTTAAACCAAACTTCTATGTGTGCCAATTTTTGGTCAAATATTCTGAACAAACTAAATTGCTTTGTGTAGGTCAATCACTTTGTCTGAACCCATCCTTCAGTGCAGAGTCTACGGTGACGAAGAGAGGTAGTGTTTCACCTGGTACAAAATGAGCCTAGAAAAATCACAAGTGACTGGTCAAGTATGGACACCTAGCCAATATTAGATGAGCCAGGGCACAATCCCTGCTGCAGCTCCTGATATTTTAATGTTCAATAATTAGAACACTGTTTTTTTTCCTGTATAAGACAATCCCCAAATGTTTTTGAACCCAAAACTATTTTAACACTTTTTTTTTTAACACATCCAGTGTAAAATACAATTTACAATTTTAAGCTTAAAAATTTGGAAACCAAAATTTTCTTATACAAAGAAAAATATGCATTTCAATAACAACCTCCGGTGTGGTTCTAGGGCCCCACTGTGGAGGAAAAGAAGAACAGTCCCACTGCCTCCTTAACAAGCATGTCGTAAGAGTCGACTGGGGTTTTCTTTTAGTTCAAAGTGCACCAGCCTGAGAGACAAGGAACCAACAGTCGGCGTACAAATTAGCAAGATTCTGTAAAATGTGCATGCAAAGTTCAAGCACTGGAACCAGACTAAGTCCCGAGGTGGAAGAAAAATCAAATTTCAGCTGAAGTTTACAGCTGGTGAATGTGAATAATAACAATTAACGACCAGTATTAACCAATAAGCCAATTAACTCTATAATGTCTACAATAACAAGTTCATTTAGGGGCTATATATTAAACCACGATTTAACAACTTGTAATCCATTAAGAACAGTCACCCCAGTTTAACTACAGCCACTGACATACACCCTTCATCTTTTAAAGCCATCCTATAATGTTCACTCTTGCTGTTCCTCCTCTGCTGCTTTCCTCTCTTTCTTGAGCTTCTTGCGGGTCTCATCCAGCTCCTCGGGGTCCCTGTTGGGAAGAATGTTGCTGACCACACCGTACCCCATGGTGACCTGACCATCTCTGATGGTAAACCGCTGGTTCTTCTCCAGCACCATCTTCCTGTACATATTAAACACCAGCTTGCCGTCCTCCCCGGGCATCAACAGATCCTTGTCTGGAATCTCCAGCAGTGCCGGCTGCGACCATGTGTTGCAGAATGTGATTGCTTGACAAAATTTCGTCACTGGTTTGTTGCGGCCGCCTTCATCCTGAAAGAATAAAAAAGATATTAACTTTTGCTGAAATTATTCCTTTTCTGATTAAAATGCAAGTAATATACTAATAAATTAAAAATAGACAATACTAACTAACTAGTTTGGTATCATGGCAAGGAGGATCATCAATGTCAGAAATGATTGAAAGTACATGAGACAGAAGGTTGTGGACGATGACTAACAATAGCATATAGCACAAGTTATTAAAGAATGAAAATATGAGTGTGCACACGAGTAGTATATTTCCATGTGCAAGCAGTATATTCCACACTCGTTAGCATAAGGAAAAAAACAAAACAGTCCTCAAACTGCAGCCAGCACATTTTCAACACTCACTCACCAATATCATGATGATCACCTGGCTTCCCGGGACATTTTCTGCTATCTTTTTCTTCGCATTCACTGGCTATGAACTTTTGTGGAAAGTTCTGGGTGTTCCTCCATCTCTGGACTTTAGTCCTGGTCCAGAACCTGAGTGTTGTGTGCACATCTATTTTACAAATCTGGATTTTTTCCTCTGCAAGCTGTTGGTTCCTTGCCTATCAGGCAAATATACTCTTGACTTCAAAGGAAGCTCCCAGTAGGCGACAAAAACATGCTTGATGGGAAGGCAGTGGGTCTATTCTTGTTTCTCCCACAATGGAAGCCTGGAGCTAAAACACTATTTTGCTATAAATTTCAGGCTAGACTTCATAGTTCTAAATTGAACAAAAACCAGCAGTGTTTGCAAGACCAGCACTGGAACTTCACAACTCCAGATCACAACAGGTTGTTATCACAAATGAAGTCACTGCACAATGGGCATTCCCATGCAGCAGCCATTCTAAGATACATCTGATTGTTTCCATGAGGAGTTAATTATAATGTCTCCTGTCTCAGCTTTGACGGCTGCATAGAAGTGCTTCAGTATGCTTTTCTCACAGATGAATAAATGTAGCCGATGCACACATGACAAACAACAACAAATTCAATATGCTTGTTCTGCAAAACAATTTGAGGGGGGGGGGGGGGGGGGGGGAGACCCAAGACGTCCCCTTAAGTATGCTGTAAAAGGCGACTAATTAAGGGTTTGTAGAAACTGGAATTGTTTGGCTGAAAGCATAACTACGACAGCCTAGATGTAAAGCACAATACAATGACCCAAACGCTCTTTTAAGGATTTTAAGGGCAGACATCAAAGTATGAGAATGCAGACTGAAACTATTCTTGGGCTGGTTCTTAAATAAAGAAGGCAAGTGTTGATTAGATTATGTAGTCCAGGCTACAATAAATTCATAATGACCGTGACATTAACTACAGGAGATCTGGACTAAGTGGACTTTGAGATCTGGCTCACTGGGTTATCTGCCTTTAGTGGAAGCAGAGAACAAGGTCGGTCACTGCATCTACCGGGCATGGTTTTTCAGAAAGAAGCAACAACTAGAGTCTGCTTATGGTCATGATCCACTGTTGCGGAAGAAATGGTAGAAAATAAGGCTGGGGTCAATGGCAATGACATTAGCAGCTTAAAGTTGGTCAGCAGCAACACGCCAAGAGAATCACGGGAGACAACTTTGACCCAAGAGACAGGCAGCTCCTGAATTAGAACCCTAAAAAATATAAACATGGATGAAACAACAGGACATAACAAAATTAGCTTTGCTAGAAGAAACCGCTGGTTGTGTGTAAAGGAAGGGGATACCACTGTGTTGGGCAGTGGTGCATAAATATTCTTAAAGCTCAGCTACCATAACAAGAAATTTTGACCCAGCGCCTACATATTTTAAAATTCAGAATTCTGTTAGCCTACTTTTACACACAAGCAAAATTATTGCTCCTGCACTGCTAAGACTTTATCCTTGCCAGTTTTATGGCAAGATAAGTGACATAATGAATGTAACATCATATTGCACACACAAAAAAAAAAATTATCTGCATTGGAAATGTGGGCTATCCTCCAAATAGCGGTCCCAAATTATCATGGCCAAAAATATACCCTAATAGGGCCTCAGTCACATGTAAATTGCGGACTTCCGGCGACTACCGTTACCGCTGAGTATAGCCGAAATGTGGATGTGCAGAAGAAACCAGAACATACTTTATGGAAAAGGGGGTGTGTGCTTAAAAAAAAAAAAATTTTAAGAGAAGATTTGGAGTTAGTGAAAGAAATATTTATGCTACATTAAAAGATGCAGAAATAAAAAACGGCTATCCTCCAAATAACGGTCCCAAATTACTGAGGCTATAAAATACCCTAACAGTGCCTCAATGCTTGTGACTATGCCACCAGGAAACCGCTAAATATTCAGTAAACAATGCGTGACTAGTGATGCTGTGGTAACGTCACATCAGCGCAAGTTCCATCCATAACCCGTCAAACGATAGTGTCACAGTTCCACTGTTGTGACAGATTCTGGTGGCAGTGTCATAATTGCAATACCCCTCATCCTAACCCTAAGACCCAGGTAAGGAGTTGAACCTAGGACCCAGAGGAGAAGTTAAACCTAGGACCCAGGGGAGAAGTTAAACCTAACACTCAGTGTCTGAGCTGTTGACACCCTCAATGATTTGGGGCCGCTTTTTTGAGGAGTGTTTCCCACAGTATACAGTATATTCCCCGAAAGGAAGCGCGTAAGTTACATACGATTGAGATCCTGTTAGGGGATTTTCTTAGCCTCGATAATTTAGGACAGTTATTCGGAGGATAGTCATAAAAACAATATATATTGGAAAGAAAAGCATAAGGCCAACAAGCAAGAGAAAGAAAATGGGATCAAGTGTGGGGATAACACAATAACATGAAGAGATAGGGATTGTGCAACCAGGATGAGAAAGAGACACAAACAATCCACTGCAGAGTTTATTGCCAGGCAGAAAGACAGACAACAGGATAGACACTTTCTGCATTTCATCAGGTGTAGATACTAGATACTCATAAATAAAGCATAAAAAGTGAATAAATTCAGCTAAAAATTAATAAAATACAAAATGGTTTCTAAAAGTTTCTTATGCCTGGCAATAAAGTGTGCAATGTATTCTTTGTGTCCGCAGTGTGAAACTCAGTGTGCGTGAACACTGTTTCGAGTATCAAGTATGTTAATGTTGGGGATCTATTATGATTTCACTGCAGTCAGTCAACCCTGAGGAGAAGAAACTACATGCCCACAACACTGCCGACACGGTACCTACCTGAATAACTGACATTAAATACAACAACAGTTCAAGTTCTGAAAATTAATGCTAGAGGGGAAAAAGCCAACTTACCTTTGACAGAAGATAAACTTGAGCCTCAAAGTGGTTGTGCATGGACATAGTGCCAGGTTTTCCCATACAGAGACCTCGTCGAAGCTCCTCTCTCTTGATCCCTTTCACCAGTGCGCCAAGTTGGTCGCCGGCTTCTCCCCGATCTAAGCTTTTCTTGAACATTTCAATGCCGGTGACATTTGTCTTCCACTTTTTATCGAAACCCATGATCTCAACTTCATCTCCTTTCTTGATAACCCCTCTTTCGATTTTGCCGGACACCACGGTGCCCCTACCAGGAATGCTGAAACAACCATCAATTGCCATGAAGAACGGCCTGTCCAATTCTCTCACTGGTGTCTCGATATATTCATCAACAGCTTTTAAAAGTTCCTTTACTTTACTGACGCCCAGCTCATCATCTGTGCCTTCTAAAGCCTTCAGTGCTGATCCGATAATAACTGGTGTGTGATCCCCATCATATCCAAATTCATTTAGAAGCTCTCGAACCTCCATTTCTACCAGCTCTTGCATTTCTTTATCAGCAGCATCGGCTTTGTTGACAAATACAACCAGCCGTTTGATACCAATTTGTTTTGATAACAACAAATGTTCTCTGGTCTGGGGCATGGTTCCGTCAGTCGCGGCTACAACCAGGATTGCCCCGTCCATCTGTGTTGTACCTGTGATCATGTTCTTGATGTAGTCGGCATGTCCCGGACAATCGACATGCCCGTAATGGCGAACATCTGTTTCATATTCCACGGTGGCGGCGTTGATTGTGATACCTCTCTTCTTTTCCTCGGGTGCATTATCAATGTCAGCGTAATCTTTAAATGTGGCTTTGTTCTGTCCGGCTTGAACCTTGGTGATCGCCGCCGTCAGTGTGGTTTTCCCGTGATCTACATGACCTATGGTTCCGATGTTTAAATGCGGCTTCTCTCTTGTGTACACTTTTTTAGCCGCCACAGGAGCAGCATACAGCCTGGAGTATATAGAAAAGTTAAGCTTCTGAACACAGAAAAACTGCTTTGCAGATTTCAAGAGCAGTGGAGATTTTGCGGTAGCCATGGAGGACTCCAGTAAAGGTCGAACTAGGAAGGTTGCCATCTTGCTTCACCATGTGTGTTTATCGTTGGGCGGTTACTTCATGCCAAGTGTGTTCTCAATTGCTACTAAATATTCGTATCTACAAAATACCCAAATTAATTTGATATAAACAAAATACTTTTTTTCTGAGCAATACAAACATTAAAATTATATATATATAATTCTGTTATATACTAGCATTTTAGGCATTACATAGTTTTTTTTTAATATTTGCAAATTCAAAAAAATTGCCAATCTGGTATAATTCCTTCGCTGGAATAAATTTCTTTTTTACTTTCTTTACAGAAATCCCGAGTCTTAATCCCATCGTCCTTTTTTGGGTCTTTATTTAACATTCTTTGGGGCCTTTTCTTGGAATAATTACAAACCTGCATTTATGAATATTTATCTTGTATAATGAGGCGATTTCGCAACCCATTTTCTAGGAAAAGTATATATTTTCAAGTTATACGATGTAACAGTTTTTATACAAATAACAGTATGTTTGTGCATTTATTTGAACCCAAATTATATGTTATTGTTTGCGCTTTGTGATACGATTTATATGCTCGGGGTTTTATTATGGATTATTGGATTATTCTGCGGGGGGTGGGGGGAAGGGTTATTTCTTCTTATTCGCTTTCGCCGACTTTAGACGCTTTCAGAAAGGTCCAGAAACGGTCGCTTTCACCGACTTTAGACGCTCTGAGAAAGGTCTAATGTTCATCCACTTCTGGACTTTGTTGTGGATCTAGAATTTGAGTTTTGCATGCACATGTTTCACAGACCTGTTACATAGAATGTTGGTTCCTTGCTTGCCCGGCTGATCAATCAATAAGGTAACGTCGCCACAGTGACGGTAGGCTGCAATAGATCTCCAGTACGCTTTAACCCGTGTCCAAATTGTACACTCTCTCAGACTGCTGCCTGCCCATCTCTTGATGTTGTCCTGCCACTTGTATCGTTGCCTGCCTCTTGCTCTCTTGTCTTCGACCTTTCCCTCCAGTATGGTTTTTAAAAATGTGTCATCTTTTAATGTGGCCAAAGTATTTCAATTATCTCTCTCTCTCTTTTTAAAATTTATTTCTGTAATTCTCTTGCCATTTGTAGCACACACACACTTTACATCAGGCAGATGCTCTCTAGCTTCGAAGGAAACATCTCTTAATTAATTGCATTGTACGACATGCTTATTAGCTCTGTTCTGTTTGGGCCCAAAATGAGGCTCTAGAACCTATACGGGATAAAGAAATTTCATTTCTTTTTCAAAGTTGGAGGCGTTTCTGTTGCGATACATAAAGTTACAGTCGACACTGTTTAATAAAAGTAGTATTCCCGTCCCAGTGTGGGACGCAGTTTTGTTGTTATTTTAAAGCCCCACCACGGCTGTAGTCGGGGGCCCTAATATAAACTAAAGGTTGAACGGGGTTTGTAGGACTTATGCTCGGGTGATCATGGTGGCACTTTGCGTCATCGGATGTTAGTTGTCCGTTGTACGGTCGTGGCAGGGTTAACGAACACACACTTTTTTAAAAATGTGTATGTGTACATGCGATAATTTATATTTGTTGCTCTTAGGAGAAAAATACTGGATAATCATTTCACAATCCACTCTTAGGAGAAAAATACTAGATAATCATTTCACAATCCACTCTAAAGAGAAGAATACTAGATAATCATGTCACAATCCACTCTAAGGAGAAAAATACTAGATAATCATTTCACAATCCACTCTTAGGAGAAAAATACTAGAAAATCATTTCACAATCCACTCTAAAGAAAAGAATACTAGATAATCATGTCACAATCCACTCTAAGGAGAAAAATACTAGATAATCATTTCACAATCCACTTTAGGGAGAAAAATACTAGATAATCATTTCACAATCCACTCTAAGGAGAAAAATACTAGAAAATCATTTCACAATCCACTCTAAATAGAAAAATACTGATTGCCCACATCAGAATGAGACATTCTACATTCTTTGGTCATGTGATGAGTAAGAGAAACCAGAGTACATCGTCACAGTAGGAAAGCCAGAGGGAAGGAGAGGCAGAGGGAGACCGAGAGAAAAGATGCTGGACAGTTTGACATCATCGCATTGAGGATCATCTGTGTCAGAGTTGACTGAAAGTACCTGAGACAGAATGTTGTGGACAGATATGACTACCAATGCCACACGGCATGGACTTTAAGACAAATTCCCCCCACCTCCATTCTCAAACTAGACGTTGTGAAATCACATGCAAGATTTTGCTGCACTAGGCGACGCCCATTCGCCTTTGCTGTCAAACCACGTGCACTTCGTCTGCCCCTCAACACAGAGCCATCCTTATAAGAGATAATCACATCAACTGGGCAGGAATTGTCATGAATATACCTGCGATATAAAGTGTTCATTCCATTTTCAAAGTATGTTTTGCTGTCATACACGAGTATATTGTATCTATATTAATAAAAATGTTAAATTTCCGATGTTGTTAGCTAAAAACTCGGAAACTACTGAACCGATTGCTTTCAAATTTGCACAAAACGTTGCCTTTGACTCCAAGCGTGATTTTTTGTCAGAAACTCATACAAACCACGAATGACGTAGCTCCAGCAACGGTCAAATCATTATTTGTTTCGTTGCCGGCCCGGATTTGTTTTTAGTCCATTGGCCATATTTGACTGCTGAGCTCTTATTGAACTTTGCATTATTATATAATTTCATTTCCACTATTTGCTTGAGTTGTTTAGTAGCGTAGTTGGTAGCTATTCTGCCGATCATGCAGGTGACCCGCTAGGTGATATAATTTTTTTTAGCCCTTAACTGGGCGGCTGGCACGTTGTGTTGTGGTTTATGGCTAGGCTGCGATATCTACGCCTTTTTCGGTTTTGGGGTTTACAGCTAGCCTGCGACAGCGGCAACGGATGCTCAATGGTCATGTCACGGGTAATCTTCGTTCGCCCTCGAGAGGGCCTTTGACACGTTGTGTTGTAGTTTACAGCTAGGCTGCGATATCTGACCTAAACTCTTCTGTGTTCTGTAGTATAGTTGTAAGTATTCTACCCTTCACGCGAATTACCGGTGTTCGATTCCTCGCTGGGCGATAATTGTTCTTTTTTCCTTAAGGGGGTGGTGGCCACATTGTGTTCTTTCTTACTGCTAGACTGCGATATCTGCCTATCATGGGGGTGACTCGCGTTAGATTCCCCGCTAGGTGGTATTATTTTTTTGGAGGGCTCCTAACTGGGCGGCTGGCACATTGAGTTGTGGTCTATGGCTAGGCTGCGATATCCATGCCTTTTTTGTTTTGGGGTTTGCAGCTAGCCTGCGATAGCGACAACGAAATGCTCAATGGTCATGTCACGGGTAATCTTCGTTAGCTCTCGAGAGGGCCGTTGGCACGTTGTGTTGTGGTTTAAGTTAGGCTGCGATATCTGACCTAAACTCTTCAGTGTTCGGTAGTATAGTTGTAAGTATTCCACCCTTTACGAGAATAACCGTTGTTCGATTCCTCGCTGGGTGATAATTGTTTTTTCCCCTTAAAAGGGTGGTTGCCACGTTGTATTGTGGTTTGCAGCTAGACTGTGATATCTGGGCCTTTTGCCCAAATGCATCCGATTTCAGTAATGTCCCAATTAGCCTCCCCGCGACGCTTCTCGGTCAAAAACTATTCCATGATGACAGAAACTGTTAACTAAGATGGCTTGCAGTCCAGTTTAGTTTGGGTGGACATGGATGCCAAGGTCAGTTAAAAATCTTACTTCGGAGAGTGAGAGATGACGTGTGTGGGGTATTTTTCTCCGCTATTTGTTAATATAGTGTACTTTATATTGTGGATTCCATCATTGGTTAGGTGATGAAGTTTTTTTTCTATGTCGGGAGCAAAATTAAACTAAACAGTCCATGGCGACAGCATGCGGCGCTAACACCTCTGGCTACACCGACCTACACATACTGTAGTAACAGTTTTTGTTGTTGGTTGTTATTGTTGTTGTGATGGTGGTGGTGGTAGTGGTAGCAGTAGTCTGGTACTGCATGGGTGATGTGGTAGCCGTTACACTGGCCACATGTACATCTCAGTACACATTAATGCTACCCATTTTAGTCTGGGTGGACACGGATGCCAAGCTCAATTTAGTTACAATATTTCGCCAGATGATGACTTTCCCATCTTTCGGAGAGGATGATATGAATATTGGGATTGGGGGGTAGGGGGGTCTATGCCAGACACTATTAACTGAGAGAGCTTAAAACAGTATTTTAAAGTTCTCATTTTTCTAAACTATTTTTTAAAAATAATTTAACCAGGGAAGATTTTTCAATCCTTCAGGGAGGGAGATATGACTGGGTTGATGGGAGGGGGGGGGGGGGGAATATGACAGACACTGTTAGCTGAGAGCTACTTTCATTCTTTTCCGTTTCACCATTCTGGGCCACAGCAACGCGTGGCTGGGTACAGCTAAAGTAATAAATAATTTCTCCTGGACAATAAATGCAGTTTGTTAAAGGACTCTTTTCCACATCTAAGGCGCATTGGGCATATAGGGCTAGTCCAGTATTTTATAGACCAGTCGACACTCGCTGGGTGAGGTGAGTAGTAGGAGCCCTTCATTATCCATATAATGGGAGCAGTGTGGGAGGGGGATGTGGTGGGGAATGCTGAGGGAATGTGGAGGAAAATGTGAATGGGAATGTGGAGGGAAGTTAAAGGTGGAGGTGAAGATTGTCCCCAAAATGGCGGTCAAGTAAGCTGGCTGTTTACTAAGGTCTAGTGACCGGCTTCCTCCACCCCCCCACCCCACAAGATGTCTGTCAGGAGCGACTCCTTCTTTCCCATCGGGCCGGTCCGAGCACTCAATATTGTGGTTCTCTGGATCAAATACTGTTAACTGGTGTGGCTCCCACCTCTCTAGCACCTGTACCGACGTGTATTGTTAATAGTTGGGAAAAGAAGTGGGATTCAAGGCGAAATAACCATTACTCTCCAGATGTTAGGTATTGTCATGTTCACAGGCTTTAAGGTTGTGATTG